ACACCGGCTAGTGCTGCAGGCTTATTGGCTCACTGACGCTGATGATATTAACCCCTTAGGTATCGAAATTTGGTACCGAACGACGAGACGTTTTTCGATACTCGATGGTATCGAGGCAATTCGGTCGGTGCCTAAAAAGTATCGAACTCGATACCCAGCCCTACGCGCAAGCCATTACAAAGAAAGTAATGGAATTTATTGTACTGGATGACCAGCCGTTTTCCGTTGTAGAAGACCAAGGTTTCCGCTGTCTAATGGCGCACATGGATCCGCGATACACGCTGCCCAGCAGACGATACTTTTCGGATGTGGCTCTACCCGAAATCTACAATGCTGTGTCAGCTCATGTTCACAGTCTACTTAATGCTGAGGTCAGATACATTAGTTTTACCACCGATATATGGAGCGCTGATGTGAGCCCAATATCTATGCTGAGTCTGATGGCCCAGTATATTGATGCTGATTTCGAACTACAAAAAGTTCTCTTACATGCACAAGAATTCTCTGGTTCACATACAGTCATGGCTTTTGACGAAATGCTTAAAACCTGCAACATTTCCAAAAGCAAAGTGCATGTAATTGTGTGTGATAATGCCGCAAAAATGTGTAAAGCAATGCAGGATGCTCACCTACCTAACCTGCCTTGTATGGCCCACACTCTTCAGCTGGCCGTAAATGAAGGGTTGCTCTCACAGCGCAGTGTAACTGACATAGTAGTGACTGGAAGAAAAATGGTTGGCCATTTCAAACATTCGCCGCTCGCATACTCCCGACTTCAGAATGTGCAGGCACAGCTGGGCCAGCCGAAGAAAAGGCTACAACAAGATGTCCCAACTTGATGGAACAGCACGTATTATATGCTGTCAAGTCTTATGGAGCAGAAGCATTCTTTGGGGGCATATACTGCAGACTACGAATTACCTGTAACCCTCACCTCGTACCAATGGGCTCTAATCGAGAACATATTGACCCTTCTTGCACCATTTGAGGAGCTTACAAAAGAGATCAGCTCTTCCACTGCGACTGCAGCAGATGTCATTCCGTTGCACTGAAACGTCTCCTTAAAAAAAGCGCTGAAACGGATCATGGCGTTAAAACTCTCAAATCCACTCTTTTAGAAGCGGTTGAGAAAAGATTCAGCGATGTTGAACTGGAGCCCTTGTACTATCTGGCTACGATCCTCGATCCGAGGTAACGACAACAATATAATAATAATAATAATAATAATAAGGAGTAGTTTCAACCCAATTTAAAAACAAAAGCTAAATGCTTTTGTCAGTAGGCCTACCTATGTTTGTATTGAATGTAGCCTACTTACTGCGCAGTTACTGCTGTTAATTTCAGATGGTTACAGTTATTGTTTTCAATAGCCAAAACCCAGTTTAGCCTGTTAAATACCAAATAAACATCTTGTTTATGTGTACTTTTATTCTTTCTTGTTTGTTGCTTGATAAAAAAAATAAAAAAATCGGAACTCGGTATCGGAATCGGCCAGTTTGCTTGTAAAAAATCGGTATCGGAATCGGCCATGAAAAATCATGATCGTGCATCACAACATTTTAAAATACACTAAAATAGAAATCATTTTCTCTTTATAATTGTTTTTATATAAATGCAGCCTTAGTGAGCATAAGAGACTTATTTCAAAAACATGAAAAAATCTTACAGACCCTAAACTTTTAAACAGTAGCATATAGGGATGCACCGATACCACTTTTTCCAGTACTCGCCCAATACCGATACTTTTATTTTTGGTACTTGCCGATACCGAGTACCAATACCGATATTTTTA